TTTTGGAAGGGGAAAATAAAGACAAGATTGATAAAAAAACCTGATTTCTTGAACTTCTTTGGCTGTGATTAACTTATTTAGTTATGTTTTTTAATAAAGGGGGTATTGTCAAAACTTCTATATGGACTATTTCCATACCTAAGCCAAAGTGACACCCCCTTTTCTAAAAACTGCTTTTGATCTCCCTAACGAAAATAAATCTATTTTATCCCTTTGTGGCAAAAGTTGGAAAGGAAAAACCGTCTCTTATGTCTCAAACATGTTCTTTGCCCCAAGATTAATTTTTGTGGGTTTTTGTTTTGGGCCAGCCCAGGATCTATTCTAGCGACATAAGTTATTGTATTGGGCCTCAGCATTACCAAGACCAGAAAAAGGAGGGGCTCATCAAAAACGTAATCATAAGCTTGTCTAGTGTACACTGTTTTGCCTGTGTTGAACCAGTGTAAATATGACCTTAAACTATGCAATTACCAAGGTATGCTATCACACAGTTCTCGGGTTTATCAGTAATGCTTCTCTCTGACTGCGAGAGTTATGTCCGTCTCTCGTTTATTCAAATCATATAAACTTTTATTTCCAAGCATCACAGGGTGCTGATTCAGCTCTGGGGTTATATCTTTCTGTACATTTCAAGGAAAAGCCCTTTGTTATGCGAAGCATTTGGGTAGACTGAAATTAGTTTTTTACGAGCTTTTTAACGCTAGTATATTTATGAATTGGATGATTCCTACTGGGATCATGATCTAATAATGATATAAAATAATAATAATAATAATAATAATAATAATAATAATAATAATAATAATAATGTGGTTAGGCTTGAGATATAAAAAGAGCTTCTTAAAAGATAATTGCAGGGAGCATATATTAGCATTGTTGAAAGGTGCGGGAGAGTTCCTTCATGAGAGACTGAAACAGGACAGTTGCAACTTAGCAGAATCTTCTATGTAAACCATACCAATATAAATCGGAAACCATTATTGCAGAGCACTCTGTAGTGCAACAAGGATGCCAAGTATGCTTAGTAAACAGGGAGTGCCACTTCTAAAAATAATATTTACAAAAATGCGGCAAATCCGTGTTGATTATGCAGCTTCTCACTTCACTTACAGTGGAATTAACCAGATAAGTGAGCTGGAATCGAGCACAGATCTGGAACTTATAGTTCGTATCTGTAGAAACGGAACTGAAATTGGGAATAACAGTCTTGGAACTTTGTCTCTCTCCTGACTACTGTTAGTTGACGTGAGAAACCACAGTTTATTTTTCAGTGTATGTAGGGGTAATGATAATTATTTTAATTAATGCTTGAGACTTATGTTATCTCGAGGGTTTTTTGTCTTTCATCAAGGTCATAAAGTGTGCTGGAGAACACTGTGAACATAACTAAAAAAATTGCATGGTTTAAACTAAACAGTCCTGTACTGTAGGGAGGTTGGGGAAGGACAAATGATTATATCTGTTGTTGAAACCGAAATCATTATGACTTTCGTTAGTGAGGTTCCGCTCTCCCTTGATAACAATCCTTATTTTGTAATATCTTTTTAATAAAGGAAAGTTATCATGTTAATGATAAGCACGAAAAAGTAATGCTGCCCATAGCAAACCCATTACTGTAAAGGTGTTTATATACACTCAGTGGCCACTTTATTAGGTATATCAGTACACCTGCTCGTTAACGCAAATATCAAGTCAGTCATTCACGTGGCAGCACCTCAGTGTCTAAAAGCGTGTAGACATGGTCAAGATGTTTAGGTTGTTTAGACTAAACATCAGAACTGGAAAGAAATATTATCTAAGTGCCCAAGGACCTTGGAATGAATGGGTTGATTTAAGTATCTCAGCAAATGTCATCTCCTAAACTTTTCACACACAACAGCTTCCACAGTTTACAGAGAATGGTGTGACAAGCACAAAACATCCATGATTGGCATTTTTCTGTGGGTGAAAACTCCTTTTTAAATTGAGAGAGATCGGGGGAAAGAACGGCCAGAATGGTTCAAGCTGACAAGAAGGCAAAAAGTATCTCAAAAAATTCACGTATTCCAACAACAGTGGTATGCCAAAAGAGCATCTCTGAACGCACAACATATCGAACTGCGAGTAAATTGGATCAAACAGAAGCAAACACACACAAAGTTCCACTCTGTCCTCTAAGAACAGGAAACTGGGCTACATTTGGCACAGGCTTGCCAAAACTTGACAGTTAAAGACTGGAAAAAACGTCGACTGTCTATAGAATCGCAATTTCTGCTGGATATGCAGATAGTAAGGTCAGAATTTGGCATAAACCTTTGTAATATAGTGGAAGGTGAGATATGCATGACCGGCCAACAAATCTGCAGAAACTATGAGATGTTATCTTTATCAGCATGTACTGGGAAAATCTTCGGAATATTTCCGGCATTTTGTTGAATCCATGCCTCGAGAAATTCAAGCTGTTATGAGGGCAGAGGGTGGGGGGACCTACCAAGTACTAGAATGGTGTGCTTAATAAAGGGGCAATTGAGGTACACATTCTGCAGCTTGAGTATCTAATGAGTCCATAAATATTGATACTGCGCTAATATGACTGCGTGGATATATCGATAGTATATCATTCCCGATGGGTTGTTTTCTTGTCTTGCAACAATCTAAACTACCTTGTCCAAGATTTGCATTTGCTTTTTACTTTGTAACCTCAGTCACTGTAATAAATTCTAATGAGCTTTCTTATGGAATTTTTTTCTCTCGTTTGACTACGTTGTTGATGGTGTCCTTTCGAGAACCTCAATGTCATTATTTCCCGCTATTGAAAGGGATTAATCACAAAACTTGTCTTTTCTACACTGAACACCATAAAATCGAACACTTTCCGCTAACCTAGAGGAACAATTGAGTTTTAAAACAGAAGTATCATCTGAACTACGTCTTTAGATTCTGCACCTGTGTGGTTTCAGAGACTGGTCGATAATGGTCCTACTGAGCAAAGAGTGGTGGTGAGTCTCTTTTGAATAATTTATGCCCTAAGAAAGGAGCTTAAGTTGTTAGGATACTCCCAATTTGACAATGAAAACAGGAATCCTTAGGAGATGGAAGGTAGGAGACAGAACTGGTGGTTAAGAGGTAAAACTGATAGGTGGAAATTCCTAGTGCTTTATCAGAACCAACATAAAGAAAACCTACGGGAAAAATTCAGTATTATATCTTACTATAATATATATAACAATTCCAGAAATGTATTTAGAATTATTTATCTAATATGTGACAAAGTTATCCATGCTACACAGTACCTTCTGCACCTCCTCTTCTATCCTGGCCACTTCTGTAACACCCAAGTTATGGATCTCCTGGGGCGTGAGGCTGGTGCTGGTATGGAAATTGAGGCAAGCCTGATAATAGTCGTGACCACCTTCGAGCGATGAGACTGCTACCTCTGGCCTCGTAGCAGGTAAATAATCCGTCTGTGGAAAAAAACAACATACATATACATATATATGTCGTGCCGAATAGGCAGAACTTGCGATCTTGGCTTAAATAGCAACGCTCATCTTGCCATATAGGACAAGCGAAATTTGTGTATGCAATAATTTTGCCAAAATCATTCTGAACCTAACGAAAAAATATGTTTCGTTGTGTTTGTTTAGTATTAAATATTGAAAACAAATCTAAAATATATTTAGTTGGGTTAGGCTAAATAAATTGGTTCTTGTTATAATAAGGTTACGTAAGTTTTCTAAGATTCTTTTAGTGCAAAATTAAAATTTTTTACATCAACATTAGTGAAAAAAATATATCTTTAAACGATGTAATGATGATGTAAACTCTCTTTACATCATCATTCCACCAATCGCTCCTCTTCCCTCCCGCACCCACTTTCCTGTAACCACAAACTTCTGCTGAACACTCTAGCACTACATTTTTTAAACCTACCCCATACCTCTTCGACCCCATTGTCTATGCTCTCATTAGCCCATCTATCCTCTAAATAGCTGTTTATATCTTACCCTAACTGCCTCCTCTTTTAGTTTATAACCTTCACCTCTCTCTTCCCTGACGCTTCTATTCTCCTTGTATCCCATCTACCTTTTACTCTCAGTGCAGCTACAACAGAAAATGATCTGATATATCTGTGGCCCCTCTATAAACATGTACATCCTGAAGTCTACTCAACAGTCTTTTATCTAAAAATACATAATCCAACAAACTACTGTCATTTCACCCTACATCATATCTTGCATACTTACTTATGCTCTTTTTCTTAAAATATGTATTACCTATAACTAAACCCCTTTCTATACAAAGTTCAATCAAAGGGCTCCCATTATCATTTACACCTGGCCCCCCAAACTTACCTACACACCCTCTCTAAAAGTTTCTCCTACTTTAGCATTCAGGTCCCCTACCACAATTACTCTCTCACTTGGTTCAAAGCCTCCTATACATTCACTTAGAAATCTCCCAAAATCTCTCTCTCTCCTCTGCATTCCTTTCTTCTCCAGGTGCATCCCACGCTTATTATGACCACTTCTCGCATCCAACCTTTACTTTTTTCCAAAATAATTCTTAAATTTACACATTCATATTCTCTTTTTCCCTTCCATAACTGATCATTCAACATCACTGCTACCCCTTCCTTTCCCTCTGACTCTCTCAGATACTCCAGATTTAACCCCCAATCCCATTTATTTCCCCCCACCGAAACTCCCCTACCCCTTCAGCTTTGTTTCGCTTAGGGCCTATATATATTTATATATTATAATTAATATATATATTTTATAATATATATATATTATATATATATATATATATATATATTATATATATATATATTTTATATATTTTATATTATATATATATATATTTATGTATTATATATATACGTATATATATGTATATATATATAGTATATATATATATATATTTTATTTTATATATATATATATATATATATATATATTATATAAATATATACATATATTTTATTTTATATATATATATGTATATATATTATTATATATATATTATATATATATATTTTATATATATATATATTTTATATATATATATATATAATAAAATAATATATTATCGGCGATCTTAACAATGCAACTCTCGGGAGCTGGATGTATCTTTCTACTAAGGATTTAGCGACATATTCTCCTTTGCCCTTATCACTGCTAAATATCCAAGATATTCTCGAGAAATTCTAGTAAAACTGGGACGCAAAAATCTACGGTGTCATACAACGAAAAAAAAATGCAAGATGAGTATCTATAAGAATAATTCAAGGACGAGGCGTAAATAAATTTTATTTAAACATTCTACACTACAAAGTCTTGAAGCTAAACAAGCCTTAGTTTTTCCCTTCTAGTGACACTGATTAGATAAAAGTAAAGAGTATGATGGCAATGTAACTCAACAGGACTAAGTTGGTGAATATCTTAACTGAGGAAGAGCCGCACTTCTCTGCGCATTTCAGGAAACAAAAAATTATCTTCAAAACTTTTTATGAGCACTGGTATGTTTTTCCAAATGACTGCAAATTTAGTTTGGTTGATCAGCAGTGCAGCTTACAATAGAACATTTAGCTTAAGGAATCCAGGCTACCAGAATATGAGGAAATTTATACAGTATTATACGGTCTGAGCTCCTCGAAATTCCGGAGTTCTGTCTAGGCGAATTCGCCAGTCCGCTAGCAATGTTGACACTGCAGATCCAGAAGTGCTTCTCACTTAAATATAAATTATTAACAAACTCAAATATTTTTTTTTCAAGTCTTGTACCTACAAGGAACTATAAGAGTTTAATATATATAAAATGAGAAAAAACATAGTAACAAATTTGCATTACAAAATAAATGGTAATAAAATCCCCATTTTTTTTAGTTACTGTGTGTTATACACAGCTTACTGCGCAAAATTTGTGGTAATCGCTAACCTCAATAAAATCACGGATTTTCTTGAAGAAGGGAAGTAAGTCTTGCTTGATCCTCTCCTGTGCTTGGTGTCTCAGCGTCGTCCTGCAATGCAATACAAATTATTTGAAATACATATTATGAAAATATAAAAATATTTTATAAATACACAGATGTTAATGAACACGTTGGAGAACAGGTTGAATCTCCATTAACTTTTTCTTTCTTTTAGAGCGTGTAATAATTAACGATTTTCCCGGGTTCGTAATTTTTGTACGTTCGAAGTTTAACAAAAAAAAAATTTTAATATCTATTATTCTCAGCTAGAATGTATATTAATGGATATTAACCTATATTTACGAATAATTACTAGAGAGTGCATTTTTTTCGGGTCCCAAAAAATAGAGTATGCATCACCAGGAAGCTGAGATGTGATCCACAGTCCCTCATCTAAAACCAGTCGTGGCTAGCAAACAATGGAACTGCAGAGAACATGATAAATGGTTCCAGAGAGGTGTGCAAAAGGTTGCGATGTAAATGATTTAGAAAACCGTCAAGTTGAAGAATGAGACACTTGTGCAACATTTAGGAATCTTCAGTGAGGAAAAGTTTCGCCAGCCAGTGACTTCTTCAGTTCAATACAGAGAAGAGCGGAGGACGATATGTTCAGTCATATGTGAGGAAATAAATAGGAGCATAATAAGTTTGCCGAGCCATACAACGGGCGGAGATAGAACCCTCGAATCAGAGTCGTAAAACTCTGTGGATCGCGGGTTCTGTCTCCACCCGTGGTATGGTTTGTTTGTAATCGTGTCATTACGATTTCGTGAGTCCAAATTTGCCGAAGATACTAAAATAGGCCGTCACTGGTTTTTCATCCAGAAGGACAGTAACTAGAGATACATGGACGTAATTGTTTTTCACAGTGAAGCAGAAGTTATGAATATTTAATGAAAAAAAAGTAAGACTGACAAGCTGATAAAGAGAGACTATGGTATAATAAAAAAAAACATTATCGAACAGCAATTAGGTTAGAGACTAAGTTTCTTCAAGTCTATATATATATATATATATATATATATATTATATATATATAATTATATATATTATATATATTACATCTGGTACCGAAAACATGTGACATACTTGCGCTATATACCCTGAACTGTCTGAATTGCGACAGTAAACATAATGGATATTATGTACCTTACGATATAATTAAATTCATATTAATACAAAGGTACGTGTCAATTTATCACTGTTAAAAATATCAATAAAATACAAAACAAAAGTGCCGTATAACTAGTTTTTAAGACTGTTTGCGGGAAACTGCTTTGAGATATGCATTAATAAATCACAAGTGACCCACAAATATTCACCTTTCTCAATTCTTTGGGCTATTTTTTTAATTCATTAGGGGTATTTTTACTTTCACAATTACTACTGACGGGTTATAGCACCAGCTAACACCACACCTTAGTTCAGCTGAGGGTGGTGAGAGGTGGTGTAGGAAGGGCTTGTAGAACACCGAGTCCTCAACAGGACCTCCCAAACTGTCTAACTGTTCCACCACGCCCGCCTGTACAGGAGATAAAATGTTAAGATATACACAGAATATGAGAAGTCAGTGGTTTTATAGATATTTCCCTAAGCAGCAGCTGTGTCACGCCATCTCTGATCCAGTTAACACTCAGCTGCAGTGCTGCATTTCAAACAGAAAGCACATCAGTGATCTTTAAGAGATTCTTTAAGGCCTTTGATGATCAGTTTTGCAAGTGACGTGATCCTATGGATGGTTTTCAAACAATACCGACCATAGTGTCACGTTTTGTATGCAAAACTGACCTTAAGGGATCTTCAACAATCTTAAAAGATTTTTAAAATATGATGAATGGTGGAGGGCGTTCAAAATAAAGGCAGTCCACGGAAAAATGCAACTATTTTTTGTAGATCACTGATTTGCTTTCAGTTTCTTTGATCATTGTTTATAAAAGTAACACTTAACTGACCAACACTGTTGCTGTTGTTTAATACTGTGGTTATGTTGACCAACACTGTGTTACTGTTGACCAACACCCGTGTTACTGTTGACCAACACGTGTTACTGTTGACCAACACTGTGTTACTGTTGACCAACATGTGTTACTGTTGACCAACACTGTGTTACTGTTGCCAACACTGTGTTACTGTTGACCAACACTGTGTTACTGTTGACCAACACTGTGTTACTGTTGACCAAAAACTGTGTTACTGTTGACCAACACTGTGTTTCTGTTGACCAACACTGTGTTACTGTTGACCAACACTGTGTTCTGTTGACCAACACTGTGTTACTGTTGACCAACACTGTGTTACTGTTGACCCAAAACTGTTACTGTTGACCAACACTGTTACTGGCGACCAAATACTGTGTTACTGTTGACCAACACTGTGTAACTGTTGGACTAACACTGTTCTGACCCACCAACACTGTGTTATGTTGACTAACACTGTGTTACTGTTGACCAAACACTGTGTTACTGTTGACCAACACTGTGTTACTGTTGACCAACACTGTGTTACTGGTTGACCAACACTGTGTTTACTGTTGACCAACACTGTGTTACTGTTGACCAACACTGTTACTGGCGACCAATACTGTGTTACTGTTGACCAACACTGGGGTTCTGTTGACCAACACTGTGTAACTGTTGACCAAACACTGTGTTACTGTTGATCAACACTGTTTTCTGTTGGCCAACACTGTTCTCGGCCACCAACACTGTGTTATGTTGACCAACACTGTGTTACTGTTGACCAACACTGTGTTTAAATGTTGACCAACACGGGTTTCTGGCGACCAACACTGTGTAACTGTTGACCAACACTGTGTTACTGTTTACCCAAAAACTGTTACTGTTGACCCAAACAAATGTGTAACTGTTGACCAACACTGTTACTTGTGACCAACACTGTGTTACTGTTGACCAACCCTGTGTAGCTGCTGACCAACACTGCGTTAACTTTGATGAACACTGTGTTACAGTTGACGAAAAACTGTTACTGTTGGATATCAGTGTGTTACTGTTGACCAACACTGTGCTGTTGCTCAGCAACACTGTGCTGCTGTTAACTAACATTGTGTTGCTTGACCAACACCGCAAATTACTCACCAGAGACCAATTAGAGGGCATCAAACCCCTCTCAATATTGCCTTTGAGTAGTTCAATGATCTCCTGGGCCTGGCGGGGAAATTTCTCCATACCTGTGGAGGGGAAAAAAGTAAACATTTTTAAAAACATGGGGCTGGTGAAAAAATTATTGAACTGCTTGTAGACGCTGCTGATTTGGTAGCAGTAATTGTATAAAATAGTGACAAGATGATTTCAGACACATGGGAATCTTTTTTCTGGAAAACCCTTTCGTCAACCAGTGGCTTTATTAATTCGATAGAGAGGTTATTTGAAGGCGTACAAGCTGAATACACTAGAAAACGAGGTGATCAGTCCCTCAACAATCAGAAAATCTCTTTGTTGAATTAGTAAAGCCACTGGTTGACGAAAAATCAACCAGTGGTTTTATTAATACAGTAATACCCAAGTAATCTTGGTACAGAGTATATCTTCTTCAACCTGTTTGCTAACCTCGACCAAATCTTAGGCCCCCAACCCCCCCCAAAAATTTTAAAAGC